AATGTGGTGACTTTCAGAATTGCCATCCGCGGCTTGGAGTGGACTTGCGGACCGAGCTTTGTTGCCATGAATCAGCCTAAGTTGATGCAACAGACCGGGGTTAATCTGGCATTTGCAGTATACTGTCTCGGGTATGGATTTTTAGGTCCATCACTGTATGTACTGGATATGAAGTGAACTTTCACTGACATGAAAGAGCCCACATGTGTATTATTTTGAGGTAGAAGTATAGTTGTCCACCGAGGACTACGGTGAGGTAGACGAGGATTCCTATATAGATAGGCACAGTAACAGCAATCAAATAGTAGATATCCGTCCGCATGGCTGCTTGATTTCCATGGTTGCTTGAGAGGTTCCATAAACATCTGTAATATCGGGTAGACCAAAAATAAACCACGGCAACCAACCAGATTCAATAACTGGTGTTGTATTGTATGGTAAGACCCTCTCTGATTTCGATACATACAAGCAGTGGATACCATACCTTCCGTACTGGGGCGATTAGGCGTGTTATTTGAAGACGGAAAGTAAGATTCCTGAGGCAGCCACCGGTGTTATGGTCGCCTTACTGCCTTATTCTCTTTCCTGACGATCAGTTCCAACCTTTCGTTTCGTCTTTTTCCCGCCTCGTCTATCCAGACCCAAAAGTCTACCAAACCTCATTCATTTTTCCTTCTCTTTTTACTCCCCCACCACACCTTCTTACCCTCTCTTCTCATTATTCAATCCCAACTTCTCTTTTTTCTTTCCCTTTCCTTTCCTTTCTTACCGCAACCATTCCTCTTCCACCGCTTTTAGACCCCTCCCGTCATTCCTTTTCCTGCACACTTACTGCGTCGCCTCCCCTCCCTCTCTCTCTTCCTCCCCTTCTTTACCCGTGTATCTGATACTGCCTCGTCTTTACTCCCCGCCTGGTCCAAGTCCTTGGCTACCATCTGCCAAGCTGACTCGGACCTGGGTGTTAGGCTCCCTTGTCCATGCCACGTTCATCGGCTACGGCTAGGAAGAGTCATAGCAATCGGCATGAGAATGGCGCCGCCGGCTCCGGCAAGAAAGTGAACAAGCAAAAATCGAATGGACAACTGAATGGGAATGCCAACGGTAGCTCCGCACCAAGTTCTGGACCCTCCTCTCAAGTCGACTGGCCTTCGTCTCGCTCCAATAGCGATACGGCAATTACTTCCACGGTAGCGACGGCAACAAAGGCTAACGGTACGACGGAGTGCTCGAAGGCGGATGGCAACGGACGTGGTTGTCTGAATGGATATGCTAAGGGTAACCCGGACATGTCTTACGGACAGGCGAATGGAGCGGCGGTTCCGCAGAATGGTGGCCTTACCGGCCAGGCGTCGCGTCGTACAGAGAGCTCCAAGAGGTCAGGCTCGAATACCTCGATTAACCCACTCCAACTGGCTTCGACTATCCTCAAATCCTGTCCGATGTACGACACTATCGCCATTCTGATTTTCCTCCTTCAGTTGCCGCCTATGGTCCTTACGCTGGTGCAGTTCTTGTTCGCTTCCCTGACGTTCATGCCACCAGGTGGTGCGTCTGCCGGCTCTTTGACGTCCAATTTCGATATCTTTCAGGGTCCAGCCGGAACACCATCTCTCGGTACTATGATTGCAATGGATGGATTCTTCCTACTCTTCTGGGGTCTTTTCATGTGGACGTGGGCGCAAAATTTCGCCCTCGACTTAGCCCATGTTCAGGTCGCCATAACCCTAGGCGGAGGAGGGTCGGGGAAAAATGGGGGGGTTAATACCCTCTGTGTTGGTATTGTTCTTGTTTTGCATCTGATTCGAAGTAAAGGTATACAGGATTTTGTTATAGGTCATCTTCTCTCCGCGAAAATTATCAGTCCCGATTTGCTGTCGCAATACTCTCATCTTATGCCTTCCGAGTTCCGGCGCGCTGAACCGCAATCCTCTCCGAGCTGGATCCGGAGTTTACTTGCGGTTCACATCTTAGCGCAAGCAGGAACCGCAATGGCTAGGCGTTCAATGGCTAAAAATAGGGCACCGGCTCCTCCTCGAACTGGAAAACGTATTGATACTGAGGCATCTGCTGGCTCCCAGACTCAAATTGATTCTGCGTTTGAGTCTGGGACTAGTATGTCTTCTTATATCGGTGCCGACGGACAACTTATTACACCAGCAACGCACAAGGATGGTAGAGATCGATTGATTTCGGCGAAAAAACGCAGGAGACAGGCAAATCAGGTTCGGAATCGCCAACCGTTTTGGGCTGCGCTTGCAAGCACGAAAGTGACAGTTATGCGAGAGTACGAGCATTCTAGGGCCTTATCGAAAACTGCTCGAGGCCTCAGTATGACCGAGGAGGATCTTCAGGGTGTTTCTTTGGATGACGGTCTTGTTTGGATTACCGATGTTGATAGCTCATCTATCAAGTTTGCGGCGGGTGATCTCGTCTCAGATGATGCTGGGGTTTCCGGTTCTTGTGAATCTGGACGGTTGGGCGAAGACACGGAACCTTTCTATGTTTGCGTCAACGGCGCACTTTGGGCGACAGTCACGATTTGCAAAGTTCAGGATGCAGCCAAGGGTTCAAGTGTAGTACATTGGCGTGGTGAGATATCTGGTCTCGCCCCCAATTGTGCCTACACTTGCTCTTTCTTGCGCAGTGACACGGAGGAAGAGATCTGCGTCATGAGTGTGAAGACACCGATCGCAAATGACGCGGAACAAGGTGAGACGGTGTCTCCCCTTTAGGGAAGCACTCCAGTAGTCTAACACTTATCTCAGTAGTTTCCTCGGTATCTACTCCACCACAGCCATCCTATCGACCATCGTCCCCCACGACCACGCTGAAAAATTCCATCGTCAACGCTGAACTGAAACTCAATGAGAAGCGCACACGGTTGAGAAAGGCCAAGAACGATCATAAACTTGTCGTTTCAAAGATCAAGAAAGAGTTGGACAATTATAACCATCGTCTCCATAGTGGCACGGATGAAAACCGGCAGAAACAGCGCTCTTTGCAATTGGAACGGAATATCAAGCAAACGGAAGAAGCCACCGCTGTTTTGGAGGTCCAGTTGGATAATTTGGAGAACATCCCAGAGGAGGAACTTGAAGAATGGTCGGCAGAAAAAGCAAAGTACGAACATGAACTTGAGCTCTTTAATTCAGCCAAGGAAGATGTGGCCACCGCTCGATCGGCTGTTGCTCGTGAGGTGTCACAGCTAGAGTCTGATCTGACCTCTACGATTCAGAGACGAGAACGTCTCCAAGGTCGCCGCACTAGGGTTAATGAGCAGTATGAGCGTATCGTTTCTGCTAACGCACAGGGACTCAACGAGAGAGAGCGTCGCGCTGCGGAACAGTTTGCCAGAGAGCAGGACCAGGCCAAACTCGAAGCGAATTTCAATGAACAGTTTGCGAGCATTAGCCAGTCAGTTCAGGAGTATCAGTTGCGCACCAACCAACTTTGGCAACAGTGTGTGGCTATCGAGCAAGCTCTCCAGCAGCAGCAGCAGCAACAGATCCTCTTGGACTCGGCGCCGCTCACTCCCGAGGGCAATTTACCTGGTACAAACCCCCTCAGCGAGGCACCCACCCTGTCCCTGGGCGCTTTGACAACGAGCGCTTCCAGCAACCGATCATTGCTTGGACTTAGCTTCCCGCCTTTGAAGTCCAGCCCTCTGCAGCATGCTTCGTCCCCCATTGGTCCCACGTCGTCCCACCCGACTAGTCCAACGCAGGCACCGTCGTACTTGCAGCACTTCCCGACCTCGCCTCTCATCAATACCGCCTCCCCCTTCGAATCGGACTTCATTCACCGTGACCGGTCTTTCTCCAATCGATCGGGCCACAGCAGTCTATATGGTTCTGATTTCTTCGATTCGAGCCGTCGTCCTCCCTTCCAGTTTGATCTGTCTGAGAAGGTTGGCGATAAGAGAAGGAGTTCCGGTTCCGAGAGCAATGCTCCAAACTTGGGTTTGAGACCAATCTCTAGTCCGTTCCCGAGGGCAGGCAGCCGTGCCAGTGGAAGTGGAAGTGGTGGAAGTGGTAGCGGCAGTGGTAGCCCCAGCTCTGCAACTGGAAAAGGCCATTAGGCTGTTAAACACCTCCAGTGTGGTCGTTATGCTACTTGGTACTCCAAAATTATATGTGGTCCCCTTTCTGCTTGTGTTGATCGTCCGGCATGGTGCTGAAATCGTCTTGGTTTTCCCAGGCCATACTATATGTATCTAACCCTGCGGCTTCACCCTGGTTTTACTTCGCCTGTGATCAATAAAATCGTGTATCCTGTGTAGATTTTTCACCCCTACGTTCCGTGTGTACGTTGTGTTACGTAGCGTATTACAGTAGTTCAGCGCAACTGTGACCGAATTTCCTACCCTAAACAGACAGTATGTAATTATGATTGCTTATCACGGGGCCTCGTCAAGTCTGGTCACTTCTATAACAACCTGCCGTTACAAAGTTTCGATCAGCGGACCAAAACTTTCGATGACGTGACTCCCTTCTAGTACCCTTCCCCCTTTAAACATCTAGACGCAGTTCACCATCTTGCTAGATAGCTGCGGCTCTTCCAAGCGCAATGTCCTCCCACTCAAGAATCGACAGAGCGCCATCAACGAGCCGGAAGCTTCCAGTGACCACTTCAAAGCCCGCATCTCATCAACGTGACCGCTAACATCCCTCACATGTTCAATAGCCTCTTCAATTCAATAAAGTGCTACCAGTTCTGTACTCGGGTCCAAGTCATGCCAGGTAGCTGCCAGTTCTTTTCGTAGTGTGAGGGTTTCGAAGTACGAAGGCTGGATATAGTATTTGAGTGCTTTTAGATATGACGTCATTCGTATGGATTCTGTTGATTACAAGGATATTTGCGGAGACCTTCTTATTCTAGGTGTATACGGAACAGACTAGTTACCTAAATAGCGTATCGGTTGAGGGTGTCTGATTGTAACATAATGTGCCGGTTGTAGTTTTTCAGGTATAACAAAAGCAAAGCGATTGGTGATGGTCTCACTTGTATCAAGATAATATACAGAATTGCCATGAGAGGAAAATATTATATACATAGGTGCTCGAACAAGCGTTATTTCTGAAGGTTCTAATGTCGCCCATGACATATAAACCCCCCAAACGTACGGAGCATGGGACCCGAATTCATCTAGAACCCAAACATATGACCTTGGACGCAGAAAGCATCTCGCCCTGAAACTCAGAAATAGCTACGCCCAGCTGCAAGTCTAAATCTCATGACCCATTTCCCAAAACCGGGTGTTGGCATATGTTAAACATAGATCGGTGACGGAGTGCGCATTAGCAATCGCCTCTGGACTCGTCAGATGCTCTGAGAGGACCCTTACAACGGTCCCAACCACAATAGTATGGTCGTTAACTTCAATCTCTTTCGGATGAAGTTGGCATTCAAACACGAAAGGAATATCTGAGAGGGAATCCCCCTCCGGTGCATCCGCGGCTTCCTTCCTCCGGAGCAGCGGGAGCGGTCTGGGGGGAGCCTCCCCAGATGCAGAGGTATGCGGTACGAATTCGAAATCGCCTTTCCCACTTGCGATGGACAGGTTATGGTTGCCTTTGGAAAAGTCCCGAGCAAGGGCTGCTGTCGTCTGACTGGGGGCTAATAGGTGGACAAGGAATCGTTTGGATGACTGGAGCGCGGTCAGGGTCTCGGATGGTCGTCGTACATTGAAAGAGATAGCCGGATCCGGGTTCAGTGTCACAGTATTGAATGATGAAACGGTCATTCCGCGGAAGGCTTTGTCGAGAGGCTCATGGGGGTCTGTGGCTGTGATAATGGCAACGGGGTAGGGCACTCGTCTCATCAACAGGCGGACTTGGTCTGATAGAGAGAGTGTGTGATTCCCGGTATCAGGAGTGTCAATTTCCTTGCTGGGTTGAGGCCTTGTACTTGGAGATGTCGCTTCAGCGCTGCTGATTGTTCTCCTGGAGTGCCATTGTTGTGCTCGGAGAGGCAGATAAGTAGTAGAGCCACATTGGAACCCTGGACCGTTAAGAACGATTAGCAAGGAGTCAGCGACGGAAGAGAACACTCAAGCCACACCTTTAAATTGTCTCACAATCCGGTTCATAGAAACCGCAGGCCGAGAGTATGAAAGCTTCATTCCGCCGGGTGAAGAGCGGATAAGCTCAAGGGCTCAAGGAACGACGGGTAACAAAACAGGAGATAAACTGGGGACAAAACCATGGAATCCCTCCAGAGTCATCATGAACCTCTAGAGAATATTGTTCCAAAACCGTTTCAATTGACGAGCATTCTTGCGAAATGCGCGACGAGACAACTGGAGAGAGACAAATGCTCAGATTTCCCCGAAAAAGAAAAAGGCATCCCGTTGATGCTTACGTAACGGCGTCCTGATCCGCCAAATTTCTTGAGAGCCTCCGATAAACTGATCCCGCCGAACAGCCATTCCAGATTGATTCGAGCTCGACCTGATCCCTATCCTCCCGGTCCGCTTCAATTCAGTCCGTCTGTTCCTCTACTTCCCAATGACACTCAGCATCCCGCTCCGCCGCAGCGCGGTCACCGCTGCCCGGGTCCAGACCTCCACCACTTTCATCTGTTCGCAATGCCGCCATGCGACTCTCCTTCGACGCCCTAAGCGTCCCTACACCTTCACTCAGCTCATCACTCTGTCGGACGGCAGCACCTTCACTCACCGCACGACGTCTCCCGCCCCTGTCTATCGCTCCACCCGTGACACGCGCAATTCCCTACTGTGGAACCCATCATCGAGCAAGTTGATGAATGTCGAAGAGGACGAGGCCGGTCGACTGGCAGCATTCAGAGCCAAATTCGGACGGAGCTGGGACGCGAATACCCCTACTGAGGCCGAAGCAAACAACAAGGCTGAGCAGACGGATAAGCAGGCTGAGGCTGCGGCAAGAGCCGTTGCTGAAGAGGAGGAAGAGGATAACTTGCTGGACTTGATCAGTTCGTTCGGTCAGGAGGAAGGTCAGACATCAGGGAAGAAGAAGAACTGAGTTATGTCGGGACTATGGGGTGTTTCTGTATAATTTACTCATCGTTTATGGTCTACATCTTTTGAAGCTTTCATGTACAGTACATCATACTATTTGGTTGGGATTCCAGCATTGAGAGTTCGTGTGCCTCTAGGTTGCCTCTTCTACCTTTTCTTGATAGCTTTAGTAACTTGTGAAGTTTGCATGGGCGTGAGTCACCATCTATTGGTCGCCAAAGGAATATTGAAGAAGCGAGGCGATAAGGTTATCAAGGGAGAGAAGTCATTTCGAATTAATTCCGAGTTACTGGTATCGATACATTGTTAACGCAGTAAATCCGACTGCAAAATTGAAGGAGACTGCCATAAATTCAGGAAACAAGTCGTGCACCACGCCACATCGTAACAATGACTGGCACCTGTCGGTTGACCGATGAACATGTCAAATGAGGTATAAAGGGGACGGCGGCCTTCCTGTGGTACAGGGCAATCCAAGGTCATGGAGGTAATATGTGAGCGTCTACGCTTCATTCTCGGTAGCCGCGCTCGAGGCAGCTTCAGTAGTCCCCTCTGGCGCCGACTCTGCGGGAGCATCATCCCCTACAGCCGCAGGGGCATAGAAGGGGTTACCTTCTTCACCCGCATCCAGTTGCAATAGGAAGGTTTCCCAGAGCTCGATGAGCTGTGGAATAAAAGTATCAGTAACCAAAGAAGTCTGCTCATTAAGACTGTGTTTACATACCTCCTTCTGGGCTTCAACAGCGCTTTCTAAGAAGGTCTCCACACCAGACTTGAAATCCTCCACCTTTTCCTTTTCAAAACGCTGCAGCTCATTCCGCATCAGTCTTCCCATATCTTCGAACAGCAGCCTCGCCTGATGGACCTTGCGTTCCGCATCGGCCACATCGGCATTGACCTGATTTAGGCGGTCCTGCTGTGTCTTTCCTTGCCGGAGAAGCTTCTCTTGCGTATTCTTGCGTTTTTGCATTTCTGACTCAGCTGCATGCCAGCTGTGGAACGCCTTCTGCCGCTGAGAGAAGGCTGTCTTAACACTGCCAATCAGACGGAGATATTCATCGATGGTGATGCCGAGCGTGAGGACATCCTGCTGGGCCTGGCGCTCATATAGTTCCTTTATGCGCAACTGTAGGTCCGAGAGCCCGTCGAGAGGGGAGGAGAGGGCGGGAGATAGTTCAACAGCCGCCAGCGCATGGAGGGATGCCGAGAAATCCCCAGCAGCTTCTGCAAGTCCCTTCCGTTGTGCAACTACGGTGTCAATAGATTTCATCAGGGCCTTCAGCTGATTCTCCAAGGCATCCAAGTAAACCTTCCGATCATGGAACCACTAAGGTGATGGTTAACCTGGCGACTCCACAGCACCTATTGAAGACGGACTTACATCATCATGCTCAACAAACTTAGACCCTCCGCCCACGTTGATACCGAAGGAGCTAAACATACCCTTGCTCTGGCCCAGATCCGGTTCCCTATTCTCCTTGTTCTTGATATCTAGATTAAATGTTTCGCTCTCGAGGAAAATCTTCAGGTCCCCATCATGCTGAAGGACAGGGTGCGCGGCAATTTTGTTAAGCATGCGCTCCAGTGCGGCCCTTCTGGATTCAACGAAATTAGTATCGAAACGGCCAACTGCCTGCTTCTCTGGAGGAGGAGGGACAACGACGCCAGGGTTGTTATTATGCATTGAATTGTAGAGCCAAAGGAAGTCACGGTATCGGCGGCTGACGGCAAATTCGGGCTGGCGATAGGCCTTAGAAGATGTCTGGATCCAGTTTCAGCATATCAAAGCAGTCCCAATTCGTAAGCACGGAGGGTTTACCTTAGTTCGGACTTGATAAACAATATGACTACTCGTTAGATCTCCCACTTTGTGGGGGTCACCGACGGTAATCTCAAAAGTCGGTTTCGCTGCCTTCTCAATACTAATGCTAGGCTCCGATTGTCTCTTCGAGCTGTCCGCGTCGCTTGGTGGTTGAACAGGAGGAGGATTCCTAAAACCCGCACCGTCTTCTTCAAGGTTCACAGAATCGACCATGCCAGCGCCACTAGATGTCTGAGACGCAGATGATGTGGGCCGAACATTGCGCGCAGCAAATGCTTCCTTCTGAGGCGGTACAGGCGCTTGCTCGACCACTGCAGGACTAGTTTCGTCGGCTTTGTCCCCGAGCGGGCCAAGCGGGTCCAGGGTATCGTCCACTGCTTCCAATTTTGTCGCATGTGCGCTAATCTTGCGGACACCTCGCGGACCGCGCCGTACGGGAGAACGAGGACCGGTCGAAGTGGTTTGTTGTGACGTTTGTTCCCGGGCTGCGGGATGATGCGGTTAGGAGGTGGGCTGCTACAGGGATCTAAGTTCTGGAGGGAACGCACTGGCATCTTCTGTTTCTGGCCTTGACGTACCGGTGGACTGCGAGGGAACATCTATACTTGGGGTTAGATATGTCGAATATGATGCGCTTGTATTGTTCATGATTGCCAGCTTACCGCCCCACGGGGAGTCACCTGTGTCCAGATCCATGAGGGAGTGATTGGATGGATTGCAATTGGTGGGGAAGATTATAGGGCGTGGGTATCAATTGAAAATCGACGATAAAAGCGTCGGTGGGGGGACACGAGGGAAACGAGGGAAATCGGGGTGGTGTCCTGAAAGGAACGCAGTTGATGTTGATGGAGTCGGAGAAGCGACTAGTAAGTTTAAGTTGGACAGATGATCCGCGCCGTCAAGACTGGGAAAAGGCCAACCTTCTGTCACCCGCCGGATTAGGGCTGCCTTCTCCCCCGCTCTGTCACTGCCTGAATCCACCTTTTTAGCTCCGTCCTTGTCTTTTTAGAATTTATAGTTGGTATGGATGTACGATTCAATGTCTCGAAGGGGGATGCAGTCGTGTTAGGTAATCAGCTATGATGTTAGCCTGATTAACTAACGGGAGCTACTGGTTGGAATATATCTAAGCGTGGTTGTCCACCTGCATATGAGTATGTACCTCCTATGTATTCCTGTCGACGGACAGCCTCTACGCCCTCGATAGGGATAAGCTGCAGCAGAAATTAGGCTCGAAGGTATATTCAAATATAGGCTTAAATCCCATAACGCTCTTTTAATGCATATATTTTCTTTTCCTAATATATCAAATCATCATCATAATGGTGGTATCTTCAGGACATAGCGCCTCAACCTAGTGGACTCGACACAACTCCCCCAAGGTCCTCAATGACAGAGATCAAGCCCTTTGCATATATAACTCATTTATTCCTTGACCCATGGGATACCGAGCTTGTGCATCTCCACCGCAAGCTGGAACAGATAATCCAAGCTTTCACATTGAGTCTTGGCCTTGGCAACATCATCTCCCCAGACGTAACTACACAACCCGTTAGATTCCCACGGCTGCCACAAGAGGGACTGGTTAATACTCACATTCCATGCCTTCTCACAAGAACGGCGCAGGTGTCGGGGTTCTCCTCCATGGCCTTCTCCAAGCTTCCGGTGAGATCCTCCTCGAAGGCGGTGTTCTCAATGATCGGGATTCTCAGAGTATCAAAGAAGCCCAGCATGCCCTTGCCCTTGCCGCGAGGGATACCCTTGATCTGTTCAATGTTGCTGATCTCAAAGTAGCCTCCGGGTCCCTTTTCACGCTCCACTAGAAGCGTCACCAAGACGGCCCACTGGGAGTGGGTGTGGATGCAGCAGCCTGCACCACGCTCAAAGGCCGCCAGGAACAGAGGAGTGCAGGCCGATGGCTTCAGGTCGAGTGGCTTGCGGATATACTTGCGCTCGGAGGGGGGATATTTGGGGGTGGGGAACTGGAGAACGAAGATGTTCTCTGGCTTTATTAATTCCTTCTGCACACCAGACGGCGCAATGAAGATGTGGTCATCGCGTCGGATAGAAGTCTACATCCGATCAGTTTCCATGGACTATCTCAATAACCGATACGATTGATCACGTACACCACCACCAGTGCCAGTGACCCATCCCCAGTTGTAGAATTTACGACAGAGTTCAGGGATCAAGTTAGATGGGTGCTCCGGGTCGGAAGATTGGACCAGATGGTCATTGTTGGTATTCTCGACCTGCTGGGCCATGACGCGCTGACTAGTCAAGTGGGGTTCAAGAGACGGGATGGATAGATTGGGAACGTAAGAGCCAGACAAAGAACGAGAAATGAACAAAGGGCACTCTCCTCAGACTAAAAGAGGTAAGAAAATTGGAGTTGACACCCAGAATCGTTGTGGTTTGAAGTTTTGCGAAAGGAAGTGAGGAGGAAAAGAGAATGTTGGCGGGGAGAGGGGCAACTTGAAGAACTCCAATTTTTTTTTCTGGATATGGATCAATTGACTAGCAGTAGCGGGAAGGAGATCGCGCAATCGGCATTGCAAGGATAGTTAGTTAGTATACGAGACCTGCAATATACTCACAAAATTAAGAAAAATGAAGAAGAGAAAAATCTCATTTTATATAAATATAACTATATTGAATATTTACACTGGCTGGATTGAAATTCAATATTTGAAGAGTGATCATCATGTTTGGGGTAAGTATATGACAGCTAAGACCGTGACTACCAAGTAAAAGAATGAAGAGCCCAAAAAAAAAAAGCAATGAAACGGTTCTTAGAATCAATGAATAGAACATTGGAGAATCTGCCACTAATCCTGTTTGGGCCGGTGGAACTTTACCCCAAGGGGCAAGCGGCAGCGGAAGAGGCCAGATTGAACTTAAGCTACCTTCCCAGCTTCATATAATCAACCTCCCCAACACCGGTCTTCTCTTTCTCCTCTTCTCCCTTCTTCCTTCCGTCGTGCGGTTAGTTTGTGGTACGCTTCCATCTGGACATTCTTTCCCCCCTTGGAACCTCTACGGAGGATCAATTGCTTGAACGTTTGCTTATTTGTTTCTTTCTTTCCTAAAGCTAATACCGAGTCGGGCTTCTTAGTTTGAGCGCCCGTTATCATTCATCATGCGTTTCAACGCAGCTGTTGCTTCCGCTTTGGTTTCTTCGGCCACTCTCATGGGCTATGCTCATGCTGAGGAGGCTGAGAAGAACCCCGATGCTACCTCTGTTGTAGAGAAGCCAACTTTCACCGTAGGTTATCCCCTTGTTGTGTATGCGCCTGGTCCCTGCGCGGCTTGCTGACAGCGCTTTAGCCTACCACCCTCAAAGCTCCTTTCCTCGAGCAATTCACCGATGACTGGGAATCTCGGTGGACGCCATCTCATGCGAAGAAGGATGACTCCCAAACGGAAGAGGACTGGGCCTACGTCGGTGAATGGTCCGTTGAGGAGCCCACGGTCTTCAAGGGCATCGACGGAGACAAGGGTCTCGTTGTGAAGAACCCTGCCGCTCACCATGCCATTTCGGCGAAATTCCCCAAGAAGATTGATAACAAGGGCAAGACCTTGGTTGTCCAGTATGAGGTCAAGCCTCAGAGTAAGCTTTGTCTCCCCACAGCTGCTAAACATTCAGTGTCTAATCTACATCTGGCAGACTCCCTCGTTTGCGGTGGTGCCTACCTTAAGCTTCTACAGGAGAACAAGAAGCTCCACGCTGAGGAGTTCTCCAACGCCACCCCCTATGTTATCATGTTCGGTCCCGACAAGTGCGGTGCTACCAACAAGGTACGTTATCGGAAGTTCTTCTCCGTCACCTCTCTTTGAGTTACGACTCATATATCATCAGGTCCACTTTATCTTCCGCCACAAGAACCCCAAGACTGGTGAGTACGAGGAGAAGCACCTCAAGGCTCCTCCTGCTGCTCGCACCAACAAGGTCACTTCCTTGTACACCTTGATTGTTCGTCCCGACCAGTCTTTCCAGATCCTCATTGATGGCGAGGCTGTCAAGAACGGCACCTTGCTTGAGGACTTCAACCCTCCTGTCAACCCCGAGAAGGAGATCGATGACCCCAAAGATAAGAAGCCCGCCGATTGGGTTGACGATGTCAAGATCCCCGACCCTGAGGCCACCAAGCCTGAGGACTGGGACGAGGAAGCCCCCTACGAGATTGTTGACGAGGAAGCCACCAAGCCCGAGGACTGGCTTGAGGAGGAATCCACCAGCATCCCCGACCCCGAGGCCGAGAAGCCTGAGGACTGGGACGATGAAGAGGATGGCGATTGGATCCCCCCCACTGTTCCCAACCCTAAGTGCAGTGACGTCTCTGGATGTGGCCCTTGGAGCCCTCCGATGAAGAAGAACCCTGCCTTCAAGGGCAAGTGGACTGCTCCTATGATCGACAACCCTGCCTACAAGGGCCCCTGGGCTCCCCGCAAGATCGCCAACCCGGCTTACTTCGAAGATAAGACCCCCTCCAACTTCGAGCCTATGGGCGCTGTAAGTACCTCTCTTCTAGGATTATTTGCGTCTCATATAGCTAATGTTCCCTAGATTGGCTTTGAAATTTGGACTATGCAGAACGACATCCTGTTCGACAACATCTACATTGGTCACTCCGCCGAGGATGCTGAGAAGCTCCGCAAGGAGACCTTCGATGTCAAGCACCCTATTGAAGTTGCCGAGGAGGAGGCTTCCAAGCCCAAGAAGGAGGAGACTGCCCCTGCCACCAGTGTTAGCTTCAAGGAAGACCCCGTTACTTTCGTCCGTGAGAAGGTCGACCACTTTGTTGGACTTGCCAAGGAGGACCCTGTGAACGCTGTTAAGCAAGCTCCTGAGGTCGCCGGTACTTTGGGAGCCCTGGTTCTCTCGATGGTCCTCATCATTGTGGGTGCCATCAAGGCCAGCAGCCCCGCCCCTGCCCCTGTCAAGAAGGGTAAGGAGGCCGCAGGTGCTGCCAAGGAGAAGGCTAGCGAGGCTGTCAGCAGCTCTGCGGACACGGGTAAGGGCGGCGCCAGCAAGCGTACCACCCGTTCTTCTGCTCAGTAAAATTGTGATATGATACCCGTGAGAAAGTGAGGACGGAGCGTAGGAAGAAGCAAATAAAGTTAAACCCAGACATTTTCAATTTTGACATCATACCCGACGTGTATTGCACGTTCAACCAACAGTCTTCCGTGGTAAACGTTGAGGGAATCATACCACTTTTGATGAGATACGAGAGCATGCAGATAGGGGGAACTGTTTCTGCTGGAGCTTGTAGAGTAGTCTTGTTCTTTACTTTGAAAACCGTTATGGCTACCCTCAAAATATCCGCCGTATTATTGTCATCTGAATTAGGAATTCATGGACCTTTTCGCCGGATCGTATATACGTGTCTATAATAATCTGAAGTAGCTGAGGGCCCTTTGTTCTTAATATAGCAACCGACCAGCCTTCTACCCATACCATAAAGAAATCCTGCGTCGAACAACATCCCTCGTCGTCCGATGCTCAAATAAGTACGCAATGAACACTATACACACCACTGACCATTGGAAACAAGATGAGTCGGAATTGCAAATGGAAAAAAAAAAAAAAAAAATACAATAATGGCTCCTTGATGTTCAAACCTAATGCGATTGAACCTCTTCATCTCCAGATCTGGAAAACAGCAGACGATTTAAAATGGTCTCCGGCAAGCAAACAGCATCGATTCATACTCCGCGGGGAAATCCATCCTAGTGCGATTGAACTTAATTCCTTTGGTTGCATTCAATTCGGCAAGTAGCTCCTGGGTGGAGATAATGATTGGCCCATAGCGCCGAGAAGCGTTATCGGTTGCCATCGGCGATCATATCGGGAAATCCCTGGGATCGATTCTCCAAAACGGAGAAAGGAGTGAGCACTTCGAAGTCTAGATTCGGTGCCAAATGCCGCCGCTTTTTGCGCATTGAGCAAAACCGGCCGTGGTTGGGCGTAGAAGGTGCGTGCCCTGAGTAGACAGCTGTCACATGGACTGTTCTATGGCAGGAAGCTGAGCAACAAAAGGTACTCGGCGAGTAATCCGGGGTAACTGGAGCGTGCTCAGAGCGTCCTCGGGTCACCCCCCGAAGGTGTTCCTCACAAAAGCAGCGGCACCTGTATCGGAGTACATATACTATACCATTCCTCTTTCCCCTTGGTATCTGATTACTATTTATGACCCCTTCCCCCCCGGCTCAGTAGTCTATTCTTTCACGCATCATCCTATCCATTAATTGCTCCTTCTATTCTTTACTCTCTACCTGTATATCCTCCTTTGAGTTCTCTGTCACCATGGCCGCCCGCCGGTCCCTTGCACGTTCTCTCCCCACACTCCGCGCTGCATCTCCCCGCACGAGTCTTGCCAACGCATCGTCTGCCAGGTCAGCAACATCGCGTTCTCTAATGACTGCCTCGATGTCTTCCTCTTCAGCTCTTGCTCGTCGAGCTTCCTCTGTAGTTTCTTCCTCTCCCGCTTCCAACGTTGCTGCGCGCAGACTGCACGCCACCGCCCGCCAAATGACCCCCGCAACTACTTCCGCGGCTACAACCGCTACCGAGTACCCGACGGACCACAATCCCATTGCTAACCCCATCGACACGGCCAACTTTCTGGACAACGAGTTTGTCGCCTCTAAGGCTACGACTTGGATCGACCTCCATGATCCCGCCACCAACAACCTCGTCACCCGTGTCCCTCAAAGTACCGATGAGGAACTGCGGGCGGCGGTTGAGTCTGCCGAGAAGGCATTCCCAGCATGGCGGGCAATGAGCGTGATTGCCAGACAGCAGATCATGTTCAAGTTCGTCAGTCTGATTCGTGCCAACTGGGACCGTCTCGCTGCGTCCATCACTCTCGAACAGGGCAAGACTTTTGCCGATGCCAAGGGTGATGTTCTCCGTGGTTTGCAGGTTGCCGAGACCGCCTGTGGCATTACTACGCAGCTTACGGGAGAAGTGCTGGAAGTTGCTAAAGATATGGAGACCAGAAGCTACCGGGAGCCTCTGGGTGTTGTAGCAGCTATTTGCCCCTTCAGTACGTGTCCCCTTGCTTCATGGAGGATCCACCGCTCTTCCCTCCGAGGCTAACCGCTCCCCCATAGACTTCCCCGCAATGATTCCTCTTTGGTGCATTCCCATTGCTACCATCACGGGTAACTGTCTAGTCCTTAAGCCGTCGGAGCGCGACCCTGGCGCTGCGATGATCTTGGCGGAGCTGGCTAAGGAAGCTGGCTTCCCCGCTGGTGTCGTCAACATCGTCCATGGCTCCGCGAAGACCGTTGACTTCATCCTTGATGAGCCTGCCATCAAGGCAATCAGCTTTGTCGGTAGCAACCGTGCTGGTGAGTACATCTACACTCGGGGTTCTGCCAATGGCAAGCGTGTCCAGGCCAATCTGGGAGCCAAGAACCATGCCGCTGTCCTTCCCGACTGCAACAAGAACCACACCTTGAATGCTATCGTGGGAGCCGCTTTTGGTGCTGCCGGCCAGCGCTGCATGGCCTTGAGCACTGTGGTCATGGTTGGCGAGACCGAGGAATGGCTCCCTGAGATCGCAGAGCGTGCCAAGGCATTGAATGTCAACGGCGGATTTGAAGAAGGAGCCGACCTTGGCCCTGTTATCAGCCCGGAGAGCAAGAAGCGTATCGAAGATTTGATTGCCAGTGCTGAGAAGGAGGGCGCAACGATCCTCTTGGACGGAAGGGGCTACAAGCCTGAGAAGTACCCCAACGGCAACTTTGTGAGTGAACCATATCATCCTTTTATAAGTGATGACGCCATTGCTGACATACTGTGCTTCTCAAGGTCGGGCCCACTATCATCACGAATGTCACCCCCGAGATGACCTGCTACAAGGAAGAGATCTTCGGTCCTGTCCTGGTCTGTCTTAGCGTCCCCACTCTTGAGGATGCCGTCGACCTCATCAACAAGAATGAATATGGCAACGGAGCTGCCATCTTCACTTGCTCCGGTTCTACTGCGTCACGTTTCCAGAAGGACATTGAGGCCGGACAAATTGGCATCAATGTCCCCATCCCGGTCCCTCTCCCCATGTTCTCCTTCACTGGCAACAAGAAGAGTATCGCCGGCGGTGGCGCTAACACCTTCTACGGCAAGCCTGGCTTGCAGTTCTACACTCAGCAGAAGACCGTGACGAGCTTGTGGCGGAGTGAGGATGCTGTCAGCACCAAGGCGCATGTTGTGATGCCCACTCACCACTAAATTGACTGCGAAGTTTTAAAATAATGAAGTCTATCGAGTTTCAGGGTGTGTTGTAATGTTGGTTCTCCTCTGAAGGAAATTGTCCTTGTCCCTCTTATTCTCATTTCGGCGATGAAAATACTATGAATATACCCTAAGGAATGCGGGTACTTGGTCTGCAATTACAGGCGAGTACTCCAACCAGTGCCTGCCTTGCGGGATACTAGTCAAAATGATATCAATGCCATTACTTTGTACCCACTGTGACTTGTACGCTACAGTAGTGAGCCAGTTCAGGATGTAAAAATATGTAACGGTTTATTTACTGTGGCAGGAACAGCTGTGGCTGATGTTGATGTGGATCTGGATTGAACCCAAGTCTCGGAGTCAAACCCGATCTAGTCTAGACAACTGAAGGCTAATGATAAGGAAATTCATTCAACGCTAATGTAAATGACATCTACTCTCCCCTGCGCTTGATGAAGGTGTACACAAAGCGGGCCTTTTCATATTTGCCGTCCTTGGCAACGACAACACGACGAGTGTAGTAACGCTTTCCATCGATCACTTCGAAGCCCCAGATCTAAGGAGTCAAGGTTAGTATCCGCAGTGGTATCGTGCAAATGTATAGTAGGCGGGAATACGCACCTGCTCGGCAGTCCAGCCGCCGTTGCTGTCCAGGTTCTGTACAAAGCTCTGGAGGAAAAGACCCTCGCCCTCACCATACTCTTCACCGACGTTGTCGGCAACGAAGCCCTCAGTGCCCTTGCCATCAGCCAGAATCTCGCCCTTCAAGAACTTCTTCACATCCTCGTCATCGGTCTTGGTAGCGATTTCCACATTAGGGCGGAACTTTCCATCGTCGCCCTTCGAGCCCCGAATCAAGCGGGATTGGCCTCTGACATTGCCGAAGACGTGGTCTTCGTGCTCCCGTCCTTCCCAGTCGGTGATACGGTATTCGGTTGTGCCAGGGATACCTCCAGTGACTGTTTGTTCGATCTTAACGTGCAGGACCTTGGGGTCCTTCTCGTCGGCGTATTGGTGGACGGAAAGGGTGACGGTTGCGATGTTGAGAGCCTTACGCTTCATCCAGCCCATTCCTTGCTATTCACGACGATGTCAGCAGTTTGCTTGAGTCAAGGCTAGATAGGCCTTTTGCTTATGGATCACTTACCAGGGCCAGAATGGGCTCAGTGGGGTTGGAGAGGGTTTTGTCCTGCAAACGCACAAGGGTCAGACTCGATCACGGCGAAACTCTCCTTGGACTTGAAGGGTTCCAGAATCAGATTAGAAAGGACTTGTACATACCATCGTCCACTCTCCACTGAGGTCCTTGATGGTGATATCTGCGGGGGCAGCCATGGTGATGCGGGGTAGGTTAGATAAGAGATATGAGTATACAAGTCAAGAAAAGAAGAAGGATAATGAAAGGCAACAGCAGGTAGTGCTGAGGAGAACGCAGGTGATAATAGACTGAGGGAACTACTGGGGTGGTGAGAGATTATAAGTCGAGGGTATTTAAATAGATTGAAGTCAGGGAAGTCACATTCATGTGCCTTTCCGCAGCGTTCCAGTCACGTCCTCCACAAACTACCCGATTAGGTATGACCTGCCCAGAATGTCAACCTCCGAGGCTGTTACCACGTGCATGTGTTCTTTCTTCATCTGCTCCTGCGTAGAACGCCGTACTTTTAATATACCTTCTCGACGCCATGGCTTTCGACTGGTCAAGAAACCTGCTTGGCGCCAATTGCCAAACCAACGTTGAAACAAAGATGCCTGTTTCAGCGCGGAGCGTTCCATGGGGAAAAAACAAGTGTTATCTACGCCTTTCATGGAAATGCTGCCACACGACCCTCGTGTCATGTGAAGCTCGAATATCACCATAGTCATTACGTATTTGTGCATGTACTGTCCTCTACTAGTAGGATATACTAGTAGGAACAGTGACGACAATTACTCCGTACTCCGTCTTGTCGCTCAAAAACGGTTCACTGCCTCAGGCCCAAAAGGGCAACTGCCCCTTTCACGTGCCAACGCGGAGACCCACCGCCATTCGTCCTGGTTCCCATAGTTTACACTTAGTTTACAGGAGTCCCTCCGAGATGCTCCAACCAAACACTCTGCCCCCCAGTCAGTGCATCGGCGGATCATGGCTTTCAATAAGAAATATGCGGGGCTTCCGGATCTGGTAAATCACCTCTCCCTCACGCGAGTATCGCCATGTCATCACGTTTACCGTGCCACTAACCCATGGCTGTGAGCGTAGGACCTCGCGCCCGATATCTACGAGACTCCCGATCTGACCGATGAAGCGTCCACCGTACCGGTTAGCTCCCACATCTAAATTACTGACATATGGATCTGTCCTCTGACCACGTAATTATATCTATCGCATCCAGACTGCAACAATCCGCACCAATTCCAACCCCGACGATGACGCTGGCTCCAACCCCGATATTGACCGCCAAGGCATCAATGCGGACGAGGCGCGCGCGCACTTCCTCGGGGCCACCGTTGATGCGCGCGAAGTCAATTTCTCCGACAGTATCGCTACAAAACGGAAGGCATATAGAAGCAAGAGTCGCAGACGCCGGAGAGACGAGAATGGCTTGGAAGAAGTAGGGGACTTCAGCGACAGCGAAGATGAAGGGTTGGACCGAAGACTTGCTCGTCTTCGCAGAGAAGTGGAGGAATTGAAGGATGAGATGGCTTCCCGCCAAACTGGATCAGAGTCCAATGAACCTCAGGCAGAGCACAAGGAGGGATTGGACGACGGTGTCCTAGAGTTGAGTCGGGCATTGGATAACCTCTATGCCTCCTCCCGGAGCGCATCCGGGCCGCACTCGGCAGCCGCGATACTATCCAAAAAGATCTCTGAAACAGCCCCCGATGACCCTGACAAGCCGGATGGACCGGCTGAGAAGGTGGAGAAAAAGACGACTCCCCCTAGTGCTTCATCTTCTGGTGTTCTGGCGCACGCTGCGGCCTTTGACGGCCGGCTAGCGCTTGTTGAGGCTGCGATGGGCATCTCCAGCTCCTCGAACCCCTTCATCCCCGATGGGAGCTCGGATGTACCACTCCAACCCGTTCTACCGGCGCTAGACCACCTGACGTCCCGTCTGACCACTCTAATGAACATTCTCGTCGGCCCGGCTCCTGTCTCGGCGGTCCCAACAATAGGTTCCGCTCTACCCTCAACAACAGTTTCGACACCTCATCTCGAGAACCTGTCGACCCGCGTGAGAAAGCTAACTGCCGACACTGAAGCCCTTGCATCCGCACGCAAGCGCGCCGTTGATGCAGCCAAGGCCGCGCAAAATGCCCGCATCGCCTCCGCAGCTCTCGAACCCTCCGACATGTCCGTGTCCACCTCATCCGCCACAGAAGTCGACCCCGCCGCGACCCAACGCGATGAGCAAGCCACGAAGATCCAAGCTCTCTACGCTACCCTACCAACCATCCAATCCCTCCATCCCATTCTGCCCAGCGTCCTGGAACGACTTCGCTCCCTCCGCGCCATCCACGCAGGCGCCGCTCAAGCCTCTGAGTCCCTCGACGAGCTGGAACGGCGCCAAGCCGATATGGCGCGCGAGATCGATCAATGGCGCGAGGGGCTGCATGTTGTCGAAGAAAAGATGGACCAGGGAGAGGCAGCGCTAAAGAGCAATATCGCACTGGTTGAGCCCTGGGTGCGTGATCTGGAGGGTAGATTGGATCGGCTGGAGAGTAAGGAGGCATGATGGAACGGGGGCTTTGTTGGAATGATGGAAATACCCAAGTTTTGCTTTAGGATTCTTCTAATGTTCATATTTGCATACAAAGCTAGCGGACGCTTGCTGTCACCCTTGTCTCGTTCTAAACGTATTGCATTGGTTGGTCGAATGGTACTTGGAGAATTCGGCCCATACATAGCTCTGATACACGCTTCCGTGCAAATATGCGCGCTAGCTTCTACATTTCCACTAGACAATAAGATATGGAGTGAAACACATATTCAACCAAATCCACACCAAACGATACAAGTATAGAACAAGAAACTCAAAACAAAAATATCTAAACAGAAACCCGCCCCAAAATCTTAATCTTCGGATCCATCCTCACCTCAACCCACCAGCCCCGCGTAACAGTCCGACGAGCAAACTCCCGACCAGCTCTCCAAACCCGGGCACCATCTTCACCAACAAACTTTGTGAGAACCCGCTCCTCAACTGCACCCACGGCCTGTTCACCAGGCCGAACGATCCTCAGACCCGCGAACCCCTCGATGACATCCACGTCTTCCCAATGATCTGGTCCAGAGAGAGACCGGACCTTCGATTCCTCTTCCCCCGGTTCGATGAGGAGATAGTCGAACTGGGTCCAGAAGGAAGACGTGGATTTGAGGGTTTCGTTTTCAGTTTTGTCGTATGTCCAGGTGGGAGTTGAGTTGTCTGGTGGATTGGGCATTTCAAGGAAACGGGTGACGCCTGTTTGGCACGCGAGGTTGCCTAGGTGGACGGAGATGATGGGTTTTGTGCTGTGGGCGTGACTGTGGAGGGATTGGAGGGCGTGTGCGCCTGGGTAGTTTGCGGAGGAGGCGGGGAGTAAGATGAAAGTTGAGCAGAGGAATGAGGCGAGGGTGGATAGGATCATAGCCAGGGAGAGCAGCCGGTAGAGGAGGGATTTGGTCCGGTGCGTCCAGATGTACGATGCTCCCAGGGCGGAGGCGGCGGTTAATGGGGGGATAGCGTAGACAATGAAACGCCATTCCTTGTGAGGTTGGATACTGTAGATGGCTATGAAGGTAAGTGATGGGATGAGCAGGTATGCTGCTGCAGATCGGGTTGATGGCTGGAATAGAGCGAACGGGAGCCCAACTAGATAGACCAGAGGGTTGAGTAGGAGGCGAGGGATGGCGTTGGTGAAGTAGAAGTGCCATGGATGTGTGCCCCAGGCAGATGATTGACCGTGGATGACGTTGAATATGAAAGCTTCTAGCTCCGGCCATAGGGGATACTTTTGCCAGAAGTAGGAATCCACGAGTACGGTCGACCCTAAGCCGAGGAGCAGGCCTAGTAGTCCGGCTGGGATTATCTCCCGTTGGATGCCGATGCATCCTGTAAGGAAAAGAAAGATGGTGTTTGTGGCAAGGAAGAGAGCCAGCTCCGAACGGAAGATAATACCGGCTATGGTCAACAGGCATAGGGATAAGCGACACCGGTTTCTATACGTCTTGGAGGCTGCTAATTGGGAATGGTCCTGGAGAAGGTACCGCAGCGCTAGAGTGGATAACCCAAAAGCGAACATGTTGGAAAGTGTCCGCGATGCATAGTAAAGCACATGGAATTGGCTTGCTTGGTAGAGCAGGTACCAGATCGCTGTAGTCTTCCCGAAAGCTCGTCGCAGTCCAGATGCAAAGGAGAGCAAAGACAGAGCATTGAACAGGCCCAGAATGGCTCGTGCTGAGTTTACAGCATTAGTGAGGGCGTTCCAGAGCGGCTATACAAAGGCTTTCCTACCGAGTAGTTGCCGGTCAACCGTATCATTCAACCAGATGAATGGCTGCGATAATGCAGACAGGACAGCAGCTCCGACGAATGTCCGAGGCACAGCACCGGGAAAGGTGAAATGATCATATTTGGCGCGTAGAGTCTCGGCAACATTTTGAGTTGGGATGCCATAGGAGAGAATGTCATGAATGGCTTGCACATGGAAAGACTCCTCGACCTTGGTGTAGGGAGCCAGGTAAAGGTGGAGGAGTATGAGCGCTGGGATGGCGCCAAGAAGCAGTATGAAGGCTGGGCAGAGCAGTGGCAATTAGCAATTATACTGATGGAGTTAAAAGACAAACCCTACCAGCATCGGCTTTCCCCATTGTGCCTCCAGTGGAGTTGACGGTGGTTTACTAGGTAGTAGAAGCATACGTAGACCGATCACGCAGGCGGCAGAATCTCTGTCTGGGTCACACTTTCCGGAGTGCCTCAGGTGCTTCACGACACCCCATCCGGGTGGTATCACCAAGATTGATCTACAATATCTACTACGGCAGTCACAATTTTCAGCGCTTTCCAGAAGTTAAAAGGCCCTACTTGATCGAGTTACTGCTACGAGATCATACAAGCGATCTCAGGTGTGGTTCAGTAATATGACTAAGCATTTGTTCCTAGTCAACTACTAACTATAGTTGCTTTACGAACTAGTTATAGAATAGCATGAAAATTTCATAGTTGAACATGCGGTAGATTGAAGACTAGGCCGCCTGGCTTTTAGCTATCTTCTTGAGGAGATTATTTCCGTGGGTATAAGATTGACATATACCCAGTTCAGCAAGTGTTTCAACCACCTGTCGTTTCACCCCCGAGCCCTGGAGATAGACATTGAGTATTGACGCCATAGAATTGGATGTGTTTGGAGCTCTTTGAATGACAGACAACACAAGTTATAAAGAAGAGAACCTTGCAATACTTGGCAGTCACATAATCGACGTTTGTAGCGCTTTGATAACTGGATTTAGAAAAGCGTGAATTGACCAGACAATTCCAGATGAATCGGTACCATCTAGGTGCCGTTTTCTTTATTGTCTTGGTAGCTTGATTAAAATCGATGTCCTCAATTGTAGCATGAAGATCGAATTGGTCAAAATATTGCTTTTTCACCAGCCTGGTCAGTTCTTCCATAAGGATAGCTGGATCGTAGAGCTGGCGCTTAAGTTTTAGCCTGTCTATTGTTCCTAGGAAATATTCCTGACGTTTCTCTCTTGAATGATATTTCTTGTGTCGAAGTTGGACCGGGGAGTTTATCCATGCACGTAAGAATGACTCTGTACTCCATGAAATATGCTCTAGAGCGTTAACCATATATTGTAGCTTTGCCCGGGTACGAAATTCTGGATAGTCTGTTGTTTCTTCGGCCGTTTCTTCGACCGTTTCCTCAATCGTTTTCTCGGTTTGATCGATATCTAGATCATCATGATCGAGACGATCTAACATCTCCGGCGTGGGAGAGGATAGAGGGGAGTTTATCGAGGAGGAAGCACTCTCTGGTGGTGGCGAAGGTGGGATTTCTGAAAGTGGGATCTCTGGAGGCTGTAGAGTACACTCTGCAGGGGTAGAAGTATCCATGGGGCATGGAATTGAAAGCTCTGGATTTTTCTTCTTTTGCCACCTTCTACGGAGTATTTTACTCCTCTTTGTTCGTCCATCACCACGTTTTAGTTTTTTCCCTGTCATTTTGTGCCGTTGCGTAATTCAATCAATATAAGCATATCCATAAGTCGTTGATATAAAACAGGTTGAGCAATTAAGACTAAAAATAAGAGTTCAAAAAAAAAAAAAAATTTTTGAAGTCAATTCGTGATCTACCATCTACCTAAGAAAAGGTAGCAAGTATTACTCAGACGCTGCACTGAGATAATTTATGTGAGCCTATCTTGACCATACAAGGTGTGTGATATATAACTATTTCTCCGGCCAGCCCTTCCCTTGGTTTCTACCTTTCCCAAAGACTGTGTGCTTCGCCTCACAGTGACTACTAGTATTCTACTTTGTATGGAATCGAGCAACATAGTCTTTACTTAGGGAATGAATGGAAAGAAGTATCTACTAATGTAATCGTGCTTGTTTGGAGACGGAGAGGGATTATAGCTATATCATTAAGCAAGATTCCAATATGTCTTGTAGTATCAGAACCAACTGAAGCAAGAAGACATTCAAAATGAAGCAACAGGTCCAGCAAACATCATTCACCTATAGTATCCAAGCCCAAGCCACTTAAACCTAACAATAATAATAGTACAAAAAAAAAAAAAAAAAGCTAAGAAAGTGGCCCCAACTCGAGCCCTCCCAACCAACCACATCAACGCAGTCTTGGCTCTCCACGTCCCGTGTCCGCGGACCATTTATCGTTATCGACCGACCAAGAACACCTCTCTCACTTTCTCCAAACCAACTCCGCACCGACAACACACCAACACCACCGTCCAAAATGTTCCTCTTCGGCCTCGGACGCCTCGTCTACGTCGCCGTCCTAATAACAAACGCAATCGCAATCCTCAGCGAAGACCGCTTCCTCGCCAGAAGTACGTCGAGTCGATAAACCTCGCCCTCCCCCCTCACAAGCAAAAGCGAAACGCCCAGCTAACCAAATAACCTCTACACAGTCGGATGGGGTCGCAGTCAAGCCGATCCTGCCTTCGGCACATCACACGATAGTACCAGCGTCAAGGCGAAAACGGTCGATCTGATCGCTAGTGTGCGGACTGTTATGCGAAGTATGTTGTGGATATCCTACCTACCTACCTACCTACCTATCTACCAGCCTGGCTCGGCTGTGATGAAGAGCTCGGGGGCATCTCTATATACCTGTTCAGAGATTAAGCGCTAATGATTGGTTTGCGCTAGTACCCCTTATCGTGATAAATACTATAATCATCATATATTCGATTATTCTCGGTTGAGCGATCGTGTTGCTTTGTTTTGGTTCCTGCGGAGTTTTTCTTTTGATTGAGTCTATCGACCGGACTTCCTGCCAGCTGGAAATGCATTGCTTTGTTGCAACGCCCCATATCTTCGAGCCTATCTGAATAACAAGTGAGCGTTTGACTTCGCTGCCTGATTTATTGCCGAGAGAAACGATGCACGAGTGTCGATCTAAGAGTCACATGCAGAGAAGCATATGCGGGCTTTAGGTAGCTGAGCGATGGAGATTGCGGCGAATTGCACTCGAGAATGGAGCTGGTTCTGTTCCTGATTGGCTGGGATGGGACGTTTGCGGCCTGGAAGTGGTGTTCTCTCGTTGCAATGTGTCTATATGAACAAATGGTTGTTTCTATAAAAGATTTCCTCACTTCTTTTTCTGGGGTTTATTCATGTGACAACATGACTTGCCTGAAAAAGCTTCAAATGATACACTACATATATGTACACCTGAATTCACTAGGTACAAGGTTCACGCAGCGACTTGAAGGAGAATATTCCACTAGTTTACACTGAGATTCCTGCATCGTGCTGTGCAACGCTGTCTATTTGTGTGGACACCCCCTGGAGTAATAGAACACGATATACATGGCGAAAGGATGGACATGTAGCCCATCCGACCTACAGTACAGTGAAATGCTCTGCTGTTCTTTTTTTTTCAAAATTTGCACACCGTTCCCCTAACCTGAACAGACCTGAACCCCTTGCCATAGATTGCCGGCTCATGTGAAAAGCAATGGAAAACAGAAATATACTCGCCAAACGCCTCATTTGCCCAGCTATGTGACCCAGGCACGGGTATCACAAAGTTGATGAATCGAAAATATAGAGTGGTGGCTAAAGCAACAAGCAAATGAAATGCATCGTATGCGAATATAAGCAAAAAACGTGCGGAGAAGTAAGACGTAACCGGTTTCTATGGCATCCGTGCCATAAGATGCGCGGAACTGTGAAATACGCCGCTGGATGATCCATACAACCGGTATGAAGATAAAGGTGATGATACATCGAAATATGTACGGAAAATGCGCATTCTATGTGCAGAAAATTATCGCCGATACTGGTCGAGTTACCGGGACGAGAGGAAGCTCACGAAAGAATGCTAAATGACTTCTTCTTGAGGCTGAAACTCCTCCATTTTCCATGGTGTCCACTTCTGTCGTGTTTAGGGTCTTTGAGCGTATCCCGCTCTTCATCCAGTCCTGTATGCCTAGTGTGTAAGCCATGAGAAGCCGGGGGCTGGCCGTTGGGTAGTTTTTGCTGTGATTCGGAGGCCCCATTTCTTGACGGCGGGTGTTCCGCAATAGATGTTGGTGTGGCCGAATGACCGGAGGACGGAACTCGATTCTCTTTATCTTTGCCGAGCCGATGGCTGAAGCTCTTGCTACCGCGCTTCAGACGGCTCAAACCACCGCTTAGCTTCTTGGCGTCATCAGGGGAATTCCGGCGATCCTCATCGGCCTTGGACACTTTGCTCGCCTCGAGCGCAGCTCTGATTTCAGCATCCTCTCGTCGCTGTTCTCTGATTCTCGCTTCCTGTTCCTTCCGGCGCTGTTTCTCTTTTTCTTTTTCGTTTGCTTTTCGCTCCTTTTCCTCTTTGGCCCGTTCCTTTTTGAAATGAGAATCGCTCTTCTTCGGGCTGAGAGGCAGAGAATGCGTGTCCGGTATGGGAGGAACAGGCGGGATGGTAGATGCAGTAGTCGAAGGATCTGCGAAACCGCTTTCAGAGTCTGTATGTTCCGGGTGAGGGAACAAAGGAGGCGCAGTAGGGGCCCGTTGGAGATTGCTGAATCGGGCAGGTTCGCTGGTTGAAGGTATCTGAGATGCGCTGTGAACATGGGCCAACCCTGGAGATAGGGGATAACCATTCTGTTTTAAGGTTGAGTCGTTCATATCCGCGACGTTTGTGTTCAAGTCCATGTTTTCTTGCTCTTGTTCTTTCATAACCGCCTCGAGTGTGGTCTCTTGATAGAATAGGACGTAGGCGCAGGCGAGACCAGGCCGGTCGCCGAAGAAATTACGGACATAGTTCTTGTCCACAGGCTCTACCATCTCATCGTCAAACAGCAACCATCCCCGATCCTGTGTTTTAATAATGGCGACATAGTGTCCATGATATGGCCCGCCACCAATATGCACCACCACCGCATATAGCTCGTACAAACGATCTGGGTCCTCCGCATCGTCTGTCGTGTTGAAAAGGCGGAGATGATAGGGATATACAACTCTATGGAATAGCTTTTGAAGTCGTTGCAGGTCTTCGGTATATTTGAATCGTTTGAGATGCAGGGCCAGAATCCGAGGCAGGCGCTTGATTTTCATCCTCTTTTCAGCCTCTTGAAGACCACCGCAGTTATCGCAGTGGAACTTGTTTCTTTCGCAAAGCATCTCCTCCGCTGAGAACTTTCTCAAACATGACGTAACCGACGAGTGCTGTTCAAGATCTACCGACAGGTCCAAGAAAACTTCGTCGCGTTGCGAAACCTTCTCGCACGTTAAACACTGTGTTTCCGATGTCAAAGTCCCTTCAAATAATTCATGCACCCAGCGAGTAGTGTTGGGTGTTTTCGAGCCAGAGCTTCCCGATATCTCAGTCAAGTCGGTGCCTTCCGCTGCAGGCAGAGTCTTCTCTGGTTCAGGTTGTTTAGATGCCTCTGCCTCCACATTCGCAACAACTTCATTGAGAAGTAGGTTCAGGAATTCATGGGCGTCTTGGTGCATGGCAGTCCGAAACATTTCGTGTTCGCGTCGGAGAACATCCAGGAAGTGCTGTGGTCGGATAATACCTATCCGCGATTGGCTTGCAACAACAGACTCGAATAGGTCTTTCAATGACGTAAAGAGTGACTCTGACATTCCATAGCTGGCTGCGTTGTTCGTAGTCTCCAAGAGTGGCAGCGTTTGTAATGCCATTTTCTTTTTGTATTCAGGTGAGTCTTTGTCCTCTGGTTTTTGCGGTTGATTCGGAGGCGCTCCAGGGCGCTGAGCATTAGCAGCCTTCTGTTTCTCGGCCAGCGCCTCGGCTTCCAAGTTAGCGGCGAAGTTTTGATAGCGAAGAGTGTTTGCCAGCGCCGCTTCCAGACTCTCTATAGGTGTTCGGGTCGGGTAATTAACGACAGCCTCCCGAAAAGGAACGGAATAATATAGGCACTGTAGGATCGAATTACAATAGCTAGCGAGATGAACGTCAGTAATATGCTCCGCTTCGCACTTCCGAACTGCAAGCTGCCCGAGATCAGGCACCCATCGACTTACCAGGTGTTACCGTACTAAAAATAGAAGATAGCATTAGCATCGTAATACATAGCATTTCAAGAACCGCGACAGCCAGAGACTCACATTTTCCATCCCGAAAAACTTGTCACTCCCATCCTCGCGAATCGCACCCATATCCTGGAGCATCTTCTCTAAAGGGGTCACCGGGGGCACTATTGGTTCTTTCTTTACGGGAGTCACCCCAACCGAGGGTGTGGGAGATCCCTGGACACATCGAGAATTAGCATTTAGTTGTCGTAGGCAGATAGGAACATGGTTTGGCAGAGCTTTTCTCTTTCCTCTTCTTGTCTTTCTCTTTTATGGTTTTGTTCTTCCTTCTTTCCTTTCTTGCTTTTCTTGGTATGTCCTTTATGATACCGTAGAGAAGAGACCATATCACGATGGCGAAACGAGGTAAAGGCCGGGAGGCAAACGAAACCACTCACCACATCTCTGCGTAAACTCCTTAGAAACGACCCCATAATTGTCACGAAAGATCTTGACCCGCGATTTCAAGCTTCATCTGACGGTTTTGAAGCGAAGCCGACAGCAGGGCCGCTGGGGGGGCCGAACAGGCGTCGGGTAGGCAACGCGCAAACGAACGGATGCTGCGACAAGCGGACCGGTGAGCGGCGAGGCGGGGAAAAGGACAATTGGAGTGAAATTGGTAGATCGGATGATAACCACTACGTGAGATGACAAGGAACGGCGTGAGGCATAAGGTTTTGAAGGTCGGCGGAGCCGAAGGAAGTGAAAGAAGCGCTGGAGGGTGTGAACGAGGAATGGGGTGGAATGTGAACGGGCGGCGGAATCGAGAGCTGTGGGGGCACCCCGTAAAGTACGCAGGGGAAATTCAGGCTAAGTTGGAACCTTAACAAGCGAGCAAAGAAGGAGGTCGATCAATGGATCTAGGTTCTAGAAGTCTAGAAAGTGAGAACCAAATGACTCTGTAAGGGGAAGGCGAGAGAGTAAGAGAGAGAGGAGGAGAGACAGACACGAATGGGGGGGCTGTGGAAAGAGAAGAGAGAGAGAGAGAGAGAGAATGAATGGGTCGGATATTGAGAATGGTAACTCAGATCGGTAGTGACGGAGTTAAAGAGCGAACGATTGATTACTGTTCAGCTTATGACGGATGGGTGCGCGGGCCCCAAGCCATTTGGGGCGACTTCGACGGGCGGACGTGTGGATTGGCGGTTGGGGAAAAAATGAGGGCGGGGGATCTTGAGGGACAAATCCAAACTCAATCTTTCTCAATTCTTAATAATAGCAATAATCAGTGAGAGTGTTGTTACTATTTCTGATCAGAATTCATAGCCATTGTCCATCACAACTGCACATTTCCATTATGGGAGGGAGTCCGCAACTCTGCTTTTCATATTGGGTTCGGTACCTGAAAGTTCCTGTGCTGGAGGCTTGTACGATGTATCGGAGTCGGTATTACTGGATGTATGGGGCTTTGTCCGTACCGGTCGGCGGTATGGATGTATGTACCAGATATCTATCGGGAGGAACCAGTCATCTATGTATGCTGCTCCGGTTATCGATGCCTCTAGACTCATATCCAGAAAAATTCTGCAAAGGAACAAAGAGTCTGCTCTTGACCCTGTCTGCAATATGAAGGAACAACTTCCTTGTTGCTATGACCC